AAAAAAAAAAAAAAAAAAAAAACAAGAAGACAGTTGAAGACAGTTCTCTCATCGCGGGAAGAAGAGAAAAAAAAGAACAGTTCTCTCTCTCTCTCTCATCTCTCTCTCTCTCTCTCTCATTCGCTGCTGCTGCTCGTGGCAGGCGACGACGACGCGTCACTCGACGATGATGCGTCACTTGACGATGACGCGTCGCTCGACGATGACGTGTCACTCGACGATGACCATGACGCGCTGCTGCTTTCGGAGTTGTCGTCCTCTTGCACGCACTTCCTCCTCCTCTTCGAATCTCTTCTCGGCGACYGGGAGGCTGCAGCGACCTTCTTTGAAACTTTCTCTGCCTTCCTCTTCTTCGCCTGCCGAACAACCGCACGTTTTTCTTGCAAGGACGTCGACGGTGTGATTGTCTTGCTTGCCCCGCCTCGTCCCCCGCGTGTGACCGGTCCAGATGGCACCTTTGGCTTGTTCTTCCCTCCTTTCTTTCTGCCTGCCAAACTCCGGACTTGACGCACCTTGCTGGCGTCAATTTCGGGCAGTGACTCCGCCTCATGTTGTGTGGCTGCAGCATGCAGGCGGTCGGGTCCTCCATCCTCGTCCACTTCGGCCGTCGTCCTGTCCACCATGACCCGCGACCCGTCCCCGGCGTCCGTGCGGATGTCCTCGCTCAACAGCAAAGCGGGAGGAGTGGATCCTGTGAATCTGGCCCAATCAGGCCCAATCAGGAGTCTGCCCCCCGGAATCACTCCTCATGGGGGACATGGCAGCCAGATGTTTCTCGAAGTCCGTCTTCCAGCCTCTTGCAGCAATTGGTGCGACGTGGTGCAACAGGGAGGCGAAACTCTCCCCCAGCGGCAACCCAGGGTCCGAAGTGGAGAAAGCATTGTCGCCGGCAGACTGGCTGTCCTTCGCTGCGTCATGAAGCTCGTCCTCGTGTTCCGCATGACCGGGAACGGGAGCGTCCACAGACACACCAAAGTCTTGAACGACCCTCGCCGCTGCGCTGCCAACATCAGCATCCCTGGATCCCCCGCCTGTCATCCCCCGGCGTGTGGCCGTCTCCTCCTCCGCGGCTCGTGGGAGAGGGGTGTGCTGCGCGTCGGCGGGTGTGCTGGTGCCCTGAACCGATGACACAACACCGAACGCGGAGGTGCGTGGCCGTGCAAGGCGAATGGTGTCGTCGGCCAATGACATAGAAGAAGACCCTGAAGCCCCGCCGGACGCAGGGCCAACGCGTGCCTCGTCCTGTGGTGTGATGGCGACATCCGTCGCGGAGGATGACCCAACACCCGTCCTCCGAGTGAACCGCTTGTCCGTTAGAGGCACGTCGAGCAACTCCGCGTCGTCGTCGCTGTCGCCGCCTTCGTCCTCCTCGTCGTAATCATCCACGACAACCTTCCCACGCTCATGGACGGCAACTCTGCGAGGGCGGTACGAAACATCAAGTAGCCATGCCCTGTCGTCATCCCTCTCCTCCTGAATCTCCCGCACGTCGAATCGCGTGGTTCTCGATCTGCGGCCACTAGATTTCGACCAGTTGGCCGCCCTCCTACGCACCTTCGCGGGGTCGTACTCCCCTTCTCGCATGAAGCCATCGAATGGTGCCTCGTCCTCGAGTGTCTCCCACTCCAGCCACTCGGTGTTCACAAACCCCGTATTCGCCTTCGACATGCGCAATAACTTCCTGTTCCAGTGGATGAACACCAACATCTCCAAGTTCTCCGGGCTCAAGAGATTCCTCCTCTCGGTGTGGACAAGATCGGACGTGGACCAATTCCTCTCACATGGAGAGGCAGTGGTCCACATGCTCAACACTTTGACGGCGATCTTCGTCAGGGTTGGGTGCCTTTTCACGTACGTCAACCACCATTGCACCATGTTCATGTGATCGCCCGTCAAAGCCTCCTCGGAGTTGGGGCCAATCCACTCTAGAGCCATGTGATGAAAACTCCTGAGGGAGATCCAACACTCTTTGTACTCCTTGGAGCCCTTCGGATGAACCGAAGCGAAGTGAGCCAGAGTGTTCGCAATCTCTTCGGACGCCATGTCGTCGAAAAGTCGAGGCGATCTGTGCAGCGGGTGCAACATCCACGCCGCCGCATGCACAGGTAGAGCCATCATTCGCACGCGGTCTTTCACTTTCTTCACCACGATTCCCCTTGTCTCGCTGTCCATCGGTATTGCGACCATTCTCTTCTCCAACGTGATCCCTAAAGACCACACCTGCATTCCCATCCTCCCGTCGCTGTCCATGTTCCTCATAAGGGCATACACTGGCTCAAGCACAGGGCGTGCCCGGTTGACGGTCGACCACCAAGCCGGGTCTCTTATCAGCTCCTTGCACGTCCGCGCCCTGGTCACTGCTGCGCTGTCCCATGGAGAGTCATCCCACCTCGGGTTTGAAACAGTTGATAGCAACACCGGCTCACACTCTCGAAGTCGCTGCAGCATGAGGAAGTTTGTGCCGAATCTAGTCTCTCCTGGCTGAATCAACTCCAACGGCCTCCCATCTTTGATGCCCAACTGGGTCCTGTACTCTCTCCCGCTCTTACGGAACATTGCCAACGCCCGCTGGTGTCTCTTGACAAAGGTTGTGATCTCCCTGCCTTGCAGAATCACCTCTCCGATCCATGGCACCGAAGCAATGTCACACATGAGAAGGTTGCACACGTGGCATGCGCACCCATGGAATGCTCCTGATCGCAGGGTCGTCATGGTTTTCCAATATCTTCTTCGCGGAAATGTTGACCTGTGCCGAGTCCGTGCAGATCGCATTCACCCTGTGCACCCCCAACTCTCGTATCACCTCCACCCACATCCTTGCCAAAGCGGGAGCCGACTTGTCCTTCCCCTCCATGTCCACACTACGCACCATAACAGCCCCCGAATCGCCAGCTGCGATGAAGTTAATGATCGGCCTGTTGCTGGTCGTTGTCGTGCCGTCCGTCATCAAGGTCAGGCCAGTGACATCCCATGACTCACGGATCTTGTCAAGATCCTTGTCCACGTCTTTGTATTCCGCCGGCAAAGCCTTCGTCCTCAGGTGATTGTATCCAGGCATCAGCAGCATCTTCCTCGATCTCGCCGCCGAGTTCATGATCCTTTCCATGTTCTTATATGAGTCCGAGCGCGCGGCGTTGAAGGCGATGGCATTCTCAAAGAAGAAGGAAGCAACCGCCTGGTCGAACTCCCTTTGCAGCTCATCCACTACGAAATTCTTCATGGACGACTGCTGTGCACTCGATGGAGGTCTTGGTGGGCGAGCTGCAGCCAAAACAGGACCCCGCATGTGCTCAGCGATCTCTTCCGGGATGTCGGGCCCCCTGGAACCTCGAGCGCCCCTGTCAACAACCGATGCCGAATCAAAACCCACAGCGCTGCCTTCTCCCACCGTCGAACCCGTGTCCCGCCCTCCGTCTGCCCCAGTCGACGGCGTACCGACCTCCCCCGACGCACAAGCCACATCAACGGGAGCAAGATCCTGCGCATCCACAACAACTGGTGGACGACCCTGTTCCTTGTAGTAGTCGTTCAATTTCGCCAGCGACGCAGGGAGCAATGCCACTTTCGGGTGGTCGCTGCGAATGACAGCAAGAATTTCACCGGTGGTAAGCGGACAGCGGGCAGTGACCGACGGTTGTGTGTGGTGTTTCACGACTTTGGACAGCGTGCCGACGAACTCCTTGTTGCAGAGCCTGCAACGCAACCTCCACGAGCTGTRTGATGTCCCYGTCGTCACCTTCTGGCMTCTGTCYGCCCATTTCCACAGCTCCGATTGGCTGAGCGTCCTTTCTCTATCTGCACCGGTCTCAGGCTCGAATGGCACTCGATTGCCCGCCATGGTCGTCGCACCGGAGGTGGGTGGTGGAGAGAAGATGGAGATGAGGAAGACGAGGATGGAGAAAAGATGGGGAAGAAGAAGAAGAAGAAGAAGAAGAAGAAGAAGAAGAAGAAGATGGAGAGAAGAAGAAGAAGATGGAGAGAAGAAGAAGAAGAAGATAAGACGGAGAAGAAGTAGAAGAAGGAGAAGTGGAGGGAGGTGAATGCCTGCTGCCCGACGATTTTCCAAAACAAATACTAAAAAAAAAAAAAAAACGGAGGTGGGTGATGGAGAGAAGATGGAGATGAGGAAGAAGAGGATGGAGAAAAGATGGGGAAGAA